GGTGCTTGGATACAACCCAAAAAATGACAGAATGATCTCAATTCGAGTGCAAGGAAAGCCTTTCAACATACATATTTATTTATTATTTATTTGTGATATTTGAATACCGCCCTTCTGAACCCCGAAGGGGACTCAGGGTGGTTCACATACCTAGAGCCCAGCAGCTAATCCTTTCTATCTATTTGCTGCCCTCTTGTGGTTGCACCTGAGTACTGCATACATACATATTTATTTATTATTTATTTGCCATATTTGAATACCGCCCTTCTGAACTCCGAAGGGGACTCAGGATGGTTCACATACCTAGAGCCCAGCAGCTAATCCTTTCTATCTATATGCTGCCCTCTTGTGGTTGCACCTGAGTACTGCATACATACAAATTTATTTATTATTTATTTGCCATATTTGAATACCGCCCTTCTGAACCCCGAAGGGGACTCAAGGTGGTTCACATACCTAGAGCCCAGCAGCTAATCCTTTCTATCTATTTTCTGCCCTCTTGTGGTTGCACCTGAGCACTGCATACATACATATTTATTTATTATTTGTATTGTTGAAGGCTTTCATGGCCGGAATCACTGGGTTGTTGTAGGTTTTTTCAGGCTATATGGCCATGTTCTAGAGGCATTTCTCCTGATGTTTCACCTGCATCTATGGCAAGCATCCTCAGAGGTAGTGAGGTGTTTTGGAACTAGGAAAAGGGGTTTATATATCTGTGGAATAACCAGGGTGAGACAAAGGATTCTTGTCTGCTGGAGCTAGGTGTCAATGTTTCAACTGACCACCTTGATTAGCATTTGATTGCCTGGCAGTGCCTGGAGCAATCTTTTGTTGAGAGGTGATCAGATGTCCTTGTTTGTTTCCTCTCTGTTGTTGTGCTGTTGTAATTTAAGAGTTTTTTAATACTGGTAGCCAGATTTTGTTCATTTTCATGGTTTCCTCCTTTCTGTTGAAATTGTCCACTGGCTTGTGTTTTTCAATGGCTTCTCTGTGTAGTCTGACACGGTGGTTGTGAGAGTGGTCCAGCATTTCTGTGTTCTTGAATAAAATGCTGTGTCCAGGTTGGTTCCTCAGGTGCTTTGCTATGGCTGACTTCTCTGGTTGAAGGAGTCTGCAGTGCCTTTCATGCTGTGTGTTGGGCAACACTGCTGCGTTTGGTGGTCCCTCTGGAGACTTCTTGTCCACAGCTGCATGGTATACAATGGTAGACTCCTGCAGAGATGAGAGGGTCCCTCTTGTCCTTTGCTGAACGGAGCATTGGTTGGATTTTCTTGGTGGATCTGTAGATAGTTTGTATGTTGTGTTTCCTCATCAGCTTCCCTCTGCAGTCAGTGGTTCCCTTGATGTATGGCAAGAACACTTTTCCTCTGGGTGGGTCTTGGTCTTTCCTCTCGTGGCTTCTTCTTGGTTGTCTTGCACCTCTTCTGATGTCTGAGGTGGAGTCTCCATTGGCCTGGAGAGCCCAGTTGAGGTGGTTCAATCCATCTTGGAGGAGGTGGGCTTCGCAGATTCTTCTTGCATGGTCTGCCAAGGCTTTAATGGTGCTTCTTTTTTGACTTGGGTGATGGTTGGGGTTTTGATGTCGATATCTATCTGTGTGTGTGGGTTTTCTGTAAACGGTGTGAACCAATTGTTGATCTGGTTTGCGGATGACGAGGACATCTAGAAAAGGCAGTCTTCCTTCCTTTTCTTTTTCCATGGTGAACTGGATGTTTGGGTGGATGCTGTTCAGATGGTCCAGGAACCTGTTGAGTTCTTCTTCTCCATGGCTCCAAATGGTAAAGGTGTCATCCAAGTCCTCTTTTTTCCTGTTCCTCTTCTTTGAGGCAACTCTCCTTTCCTCTCTTCCCACTCAAGAGGAGAGAGAGAGCCTGTGATTAAAGCAGGTGTGGGCCAACTTGAGCCCTCTCTCCAGTTGTTTTGGACTTCAACTCCCACAATTCCTAACATCTGTTGACCTTTGGATTTTCAATCTTAGGCGGTTGCCTTGTCTGTAGAGGCGGCCCTAGGTAATTTTCAAAGGTAAGCAAACAGTATTTTGCCCCCCCCCCACAACCAATCATTGATATATATTTTCTGTTCATCGTGGGAGTTCTGTGTGCCATATTTGGTTCAATTCCATCATTGGTGGAGTTCAGAATGCTCTTTGATTGTAGGTGAACTATACATCCCAGTAAATACACTTGCCGCACTTGCTCCCTTGCCTGGCCCGCTTTGGGTCCAGAGGCGTGCCTGAAGACCCCGCCTTGTGCACCAAAAGTCACCTCTCCTCCTGACTTTCTCCTCAGCCATTGGGACCAAGAGAGAGAGAGAGAGAGAGAGAGAGGTGGAGATGCCCACCTTTCCTGAAGGTAGGCGCAAAAACAAAGGAGGGAGCGGAGGTGGGAGATACCTCCAGCCGGAGGGGCTCTCTCTCTCTCTCTCGGTCCCAATGGATGAAGAGAAAGTCAGGAGAAGAGGCGACTTTTGGTGCGCACACTGGGGTCTTCAGACACGCCTCCGGACCCGAAGCGGGCCAGACACCGCAGCTCCGCCCCTTGGCCCACCCGCGGATTGGGGAGAGGAGAGGAGGCGGGTGGAGCACCGGGGGATCGGGAAAGGGAGGGTCATGGGGAAGGGATCAAACGCGGAGAACGATTGAGCGCCAGCTCTGCTCGCGCACCCAGTGGCCGGGTGGAGCAGGAACGAGAGGGGCTAGGCGAGGCTCAAGGGCCCGGCCCCTTTGGGAAGAGGATCGCCCGGCAGCGAGGCAAGAAAGCCGAGGCTCCCCCCGGACTGCTAGGGCTGTTGTGAGCTGAGGGGACACTCCTCAAGTGGCGGTCATTGACAGAGGCACCTCTGTGCCCCTGGCAAAAGAAAAGTGTTCTGCGACGGCTTACTTCGTGTAATGGACGAGCCGCCCCTGCTTGTCTGTGTGCATGTGCCTGCAAGTTGCCTTTGACTTGTTGTGATCTCATGCATTTCATAGGGTCTTGTTAGGCAAGGCATCCTCAGAGGTGGGGGTCCCCCATTCAAGTCCTAACCAGAGCTGCCCCTGCCTAGCTCATCAGACTGGAAAGGAATGGGGCAAAACCTCGTTGGGTTTTCTGTACACCATGTAAATCTTGGCTAAATGCTTCCCAAGATAGATGAGCCCTTAAAAACTCAGAGATGTGCCACTCTAAATTCCCCCATAATCTGTCACAGGCCATCTGCCAGGCCTAAGTTTATCCAAAGACAGGCTTAGCTTAATAATAATAGTAACAGAATGCTTTGCTGGTCAACTTACTTTTTTTTCATAGTCTGCTTTAGAGATGGCCAGGGAAAGTATTGATGTTTTATGTATTGTCGAAGGCTTTCATGGCTGGAATCACTGGGTTGTTGTAGGTTTTTTCGGGCTATATGGCCATGTTCTAGAGGCATTCTCTCCTGATGTTTCGCCTGCATCTATGGCAAGCATCCTCAGATGCTTGCCATAGATGCAGGTGAAACGTCAGGAGAGAATGCCTCTAGACCATGGCCATATAGCCCGAAAAAACCTACAACAACCCTATTGATGTTTTTCTTGCTCTCTGGGTATTGCTTTGGAGTGAACTACTATTTGACCCTAACTCTCAATGGTAAATTGCATGGGTTTCCTACAAGGCACCCCAGCTTCAGCCCCAGTACAACAATAACAACAATGTTATGATTATTCCTTGTTTATATAGAACCATCAGTTTGTAAGCAAAATAAACAAACCCAAATAAATACAGAGGGAAGGGATGCAACAGCGTACGATGCAATTGCACAACAAAAATATTAAGACACCATGCCCAAAATACAATAAGACTTCAGGATAATTGTTTAATTTTTAATATTTTTGGTAGAATCCATGGTTTTCATACTAGACATCCCATCTGCACTTGTTGCATTAATAATAATAATAATAATAATAATAATAATAATAATAATAATAAGTTCAAGCCAAACAACCAAAGTCACAGGGTCCAATTGGCCTGCATTGGAGTGCATGAGCCATTTGTGTGATGCAGCAGCTGAAAAAGCCAGTGCGATTCACTTGGATTGTCTTGTGTTGGTTGCTGACATCTTCCTGATGTGTTTTTGTCTCTCCTTCGCAGCTCACAGTCTACCTTGGAAAGAGGGATTTTGTCGACCACATAGACGTCGTCGATCCCGTTGGTAAGTCTTTATTGGGCTAGGCTTGGTTGATTAAAAAAAAAGTTCAAAACTTGTTTCAGATGCTGGTGGCTCGATTCAAAACTCAACTTCGATTTTCACAGAAAAAAAATTCAAAACTTTCCGAAACTTCTGAGACATCCGAATCCTTTAGTTAATGGTTGGAAAGTGTTATTTCCTGTTTCATTGAGTGGTCGTTACTTTGAAAGTAGTTGTTTTACTCCAGATGTGGGGAAAAACAAGTGGAGGAAATTCCTGCCTTCTCTGGTTTAAAACTGGCTTCTCTGGCTTGAGCCAAGTCTAGATAAGGAAGGAGTTTCCTCCGCTTGCCCCCGCTTCTGGTCCCTCTGCCTTGGCGTGAACTGAGGCCAGGGACCAGAAGTGGGGAAAAGCAAATGGAGGAAATTCCTTCCTCCTCCGGTTTAAAACTGGCTTCTCTGGCTTGAGCTGAGGCCAGGAAATTCCTTCCTTCTCTGGTTTAAAACTGGCTTCTCTGGCTTAAGCCGAGGCCAGGAAATTCCTTCCTTCTCTGGTTTAAAACTGGCTTCTCTGGCTTAAATTGGCTTGAGCCGAGGCCAGGAAATTCCTTCCTTCTCTGGTTTAAAACTGGCTTCTCTGGCTTGAGCCGAGGCCAGGAAATTCCTTCCTTCTCTGGCTTTAAAACTGGCTTCTCTGGCTTGAGCCGAGGCCAGGAAATTCCTCCCTTCTCTGGTTTAAAAGCTTCTCTGGCTTTAAAACTGGCTTCTCTGGCTTGAGCCGAGGCCAGGAAATTCCTTCCTGCTCTGGTTTAAAACTGGCTTCTCTGGCTTGAGCCGAGGCCAGGAAATTCCTTCCTGCTCTGGTTTAAAACTGGCTTCTCTGGCTTTAAAACTGGCTTCTCTGGCTTGAGCCGAGGCCAGGAAATTCCTTCCTTCTCTGGTTTAAAACTGGCTTCTCTGGCTTTAAAATTGGCTTCTCTTTAGCCGAGGCCAGGAAATTCCTTCCTTCTCTGGTTTAAAACTGGCTTCTCTGGCTTGAGCCAAGGCCAGGAAATTCCTTCTCTGGTTTAAAACTGGCTTCTCTGGCTTTAAAACTGGCTTCTCTGGCTTGACCGAGGCCAGGAAATTCCTTCCTTCTCTGGTTTAAAACTGGCTTCTCTGGCTTTAAAACTGGCTTCTCTGGCTTGAGCCGAGGCCAGGAAATTCCTTCCTTCTCTGGTTTAAAACTGGCTTCTCTGGCTTAAGCCGAGGCCAGGAAATTCCTTCCTTCTCTGGTTTAAAACTGGCTTCTCTGGCTTGAGCCGAGACCAAGAAATTTCTTCCTTCTCTAGTTCAAAACTGGCTTCTCTGGCTTTAAATGGCTTCTCTGGCTTGAGCCGAGGCCAGGAAATTCCTTCCTTCTCTGGTTTAAAACTGGCTTCTCTGGCTTGAGCCGAGGCCAGGAAATTCCTTCCTTCTCTGGTTTAAAACTGGCTTCTCTGGCTTTAAAACTGGCTTCTCTGGCTTGAGCTGAGGCCAGGAAATTCCTTCCTTCTCTGGTTTAAAACTGGCTTCTCTGGCTTGAGCCGAGGCCAGGAAATTCCTTCCTTCTCTGGTTTAAAACTGGCTTCTCTGGCTTTAAAATTGGCTTCTCTGGCTTGAGCCGAGGCCAGGAAATTCCTTCCTTCTTGGTTTAAAACTGGCTTCTCTGGCTTTAAAACTGGCTTCTCTGGCTTGAGCCGAGGCCAGGAAATTCCTTCCTTCTCTGGTTTAAAACTGGCTTCTCTGGCTTAAGCCGAGGCCAGGAAATTCCTTCCTTCTCTGGTTTAAAACTGGCTTCTCTGGCTTTAAAACTGGCTTCTCTGGCTTGAGCCGAGGCCAGGAAATTCCTTCCTTCTCTGGTTTAAAACTGGCTTCTCTGGCTTTAAAACTGGCTTCTCTGGCTTAAGCCGAGGCCAGGAAATTCCTTCCTTCTCTGGTTTAAAACTGGCTTCTCTGGCTTTAAAACTGGCTTCTCTGGCTTGAGCCGAGGCCAGGAAATTCCTTCCTTCTCTGGTTTAAAACTGGCTTCTCTGGCTTGAGCCGAGGCCAGGAAATTCCTTCCTTCTCTGGTTTAAAACTGGCTTCTTTAAAACTGGCTTCTCTGGCTTGAGCCGAGGTCAGGAAATTCCTTCCTTCCCTGGTTCAAAACTGGCTTCTCTGGCTTGAGCCGAGGCCAGGAAATTCCTTCCTTCCCTGGTTTAAAACTGGCTTCTCTGGCTTGAGCCAAGGCTAGATAAGGAAGGAGTTTCCTCCGCTTGCCCCCGCTTCTGGTCCCTCTGCCTCGGCTTGAGCCGAGGCCAGAGACCAGAAGTGGTGAAAAGCAAGCGGAGGAAATTCCTTCTTCCTCTGGTTTAAAACTGGCTTCTCTGGCTTGAACCAAAGCTAGGAAACTCTATGCAGATGACACTCAACTCTACTACTCTTTTCCACCTAATTCCAAGGAGGCCTCTCGGATGCTAGACGAGTGCCTGGCCGCTGTGTCTATCTGGATGAGGACGAACAAGCTGAAGATCAATCCCGACAAGACAGAGGTCCTCCTGGTCGATCGTAAGCCAGACCGGGGTATAGGGTGGCAGCCTGTGTTGGACGGGGTTACACTCCCCCTGAAGCCACAGGTCCGTAGCTTGGGAGTCCTCCTGGATTCATCGCTCACGCTTGAGGTTCAGGCGTCGGCGATGGCCGGGAGGGCTTTTGCACAACTGAGACTTGTACGCCAGCTACGACCGTACCTCGCTAAAGCTGATCTGGCCGGGGTGGTCCATGCCTTAGTCACCTCCAGACTGGACTACTGCAATGCGCTCTACGTGGGGCTGCCCTTGAAAACGGCTCGGAAACTTCAATTGGTCCAACGGGCAGCAGCCAGGATGTTAACCGGGGCCTATTACAGAGAGAGGTCAACCCTCCTGTTTAAGGAGCCCCACTGGCTGCCGTTTATTTTCCGAGCCCAATTTAAGGTGCAGGTGCTCACCTACAAAGCCCTGAACGGTTTGGGACCACCCTACCTGCATGACCGTATCGTTATCTACGAACCCACACGTTCACTCCGGTCATCTGGAGAGACCCTGCTCGTGATCCCGCCCACATCACAAGCGCGTTTGGTGGGGACGCGAGACAGGGCCTTCTCTGTGGTGGCCCCCCGCCTCTGGAATGCCCTCCCGAAAGACCTCAGACAAGCCCCTACATTGGCAGTCTTCAGAAGAAATTTGAAGACCTGGCTGTTCCAATGTGCCTTCTCAGACTAGGAACCCCAGTACCAAATCCCAGAAGCACTTTAGTTAGAACCAAGATCACTGCACACTGCACACCACACTTATATTATAATCCATATCTGTCCGACACATCAGCACTTTTAATCCTGTACCCCTACTCCTGGCCGGCTCAGTTTTTAATAATGTTTTGTTGCACTGTTATTGTTATTTTTTTTTTTGCTTAACTGTTTTATTTGCTAGGTATTGTATTGTTGTATTGTTGTGGGTTCGGCCTGTTGTAAGCCGCATCGAATCCCTTGGGAGATGCTAGCGGGGTACAAATAAAGTTATAATAATAATAATAATAATAATAATAATAATAATAATAATAGTAATAATAATAATAATAACTCCTTCCTTCTCTGGTTTAAAATTGGCTTCTCTGGCTTTAAAACTGGCTTCTCTGGCTTGAGCTGAGGCCAAGAAATTCCTTCCTTCTCTGGTTTAAACCTGGCTTCTCTGGCTTGAACTGAGGCCAAGAAATTCCTTCCTTCTCTGGTTTAAAACTGGCTTCTCTGGCTTGAGCTGAGGCCAAGAAATTCCTTCCTTCTCTGGTTTAAAACTGGCTTCTCTGGCTTGAACTGAGGCCAAGAAATTCCTTCCTTCTCTGGTTTAAAACTGGCTTCTCTGGCTTGAGCTGAGGCCAAGAAATTCCTTCCTTCTCTGGTTTAAAACTGGCTTCTCTGGCTTGAGCTGAGGCCAAGAAATTCCTTCCTTCTCTGGTTTAAAACTGGCTTCTCTGGCTTGAGCTGAGGCCAAGAAATTCCTTCCTTCTCTGGTTTAAAACTGGCTTCTCTGGCTTGAGCCGAGGCCAGGAAATTCCTTCCTTTCTCTGTTTTAAAACTGGCTCCTCTGGTTTGAGCCAAGGCCAGGAAATTCCTTCTTTCACTGGTTTAAAACTGGCTCCTCTGGTTTGAGCCAAGGCCAAGAAATTCCTTCCTTCTCTGGTTTAAAACTGGCTCCTCTGGCTTGAGCCAAGGCCAAGAAATTCCTTCCTTCTCTGGTTTAAACCTGGCTTCTCTGGCTTGAACTGAGGCCAAGAAATTCCTTCCTTCTCTAGTTTAAAACTGGCTTCTCTGGCTTGAACTGAGGCCAAGAAATTCCTTCCTTCACTGGTTTAAAACTGGCTTCTCTGGCTTGAACTGAGGCCAAGAAATTCCTTCCTTCTCTGGTTTAAAACTGGCTTCTCTGGCTTGAACTGAGGCCAAGAAATTCCTTCCTTCACTGGTTTAAAACTGGCTTCTCTGGCTTGAACTGAGGCCAAGAAATTCCTTCCTTCACTGGTTTAAAACTGGCTTCTCTGGCTTGAACTGAGGCCAAGAAATTCCTTCCTTCTCTGGTTTAAAACTGGCTTCTCTGGCTTGAACTGAGGCCAAGAAATTCCTTCCTTCTCTGGTTTAAACCTGGCTTCTCTGGCTTGAGCTGAGGCCAAGAAATTCTCTTCTCTGGTTTAAAACTGGCTTCTCTGGCTTGAGCCGAGGCCAGGAAATTCCTTCCTTCTCTGGTTTAAAACTGGCTTCTCTGGCTTGAGCTGAGGCCAAGAAATTCCTTCCTTCTCTGGTTTAAAACTGGCTTCTCTGGCTTGAGCTGAGGCCAAGAAATTCCTTCCTTCTCTGGTTTAAAACTGGCTTCTCTGGCTTGAACTGAGGCCAAGAAATTCCTTCCTTCTCTGGTTTAAAACTGGCTTCTCTGGCTTGAACTGAGGCCAAGAAATTCCTTCCTTCTCTGGTTTAAAACTGGCTTCTCTGGCTTGAAC